GTCCTGGGTGGTTCTAGGCTGTGCCAAGGCGGCCTGGGCGGTTCTAGGCTGCGAGGGTGGGTCTAGGAGATTTGACTTTATTTGTTCAGAAGATATAAACAGAACTGAAGGTAAACTACCTGCAAGTCTTTGAGCTCGACATTGCCACGGGAAGGCCAATTTGAAGGAGGAACACAGGTCTTTTATCTCCCATGCTGCTTCTGATGGGATGTTTGTAAATTGTTTTATCCTCTCAACCGATACCATCTTATTTTCGACAAAGCAGCTCATATAAATGGCCCAGAACAGCACACCATTCAGGGCAATCCGTAGGAGAGAGTTAAACCAACATTCTCTGCACCATGAAGGAATAACTGATTTAGCCAAATCTCTGAAATAGACACTCATCTACTGCAGCTAATTTATATCAGATGTGCCAAGATAAGATGCTAATTTATATCAGATACGCTAAGTATTATATACTCAGGCATCCCATATCATAATTGTCCATGATTGTTAAGTGTCGCACAGAAAGAAGAAGAAGGATGCACCTGGCTTTATTATACTGCTTGGCAACAAGAACATGAATACAGTGGAAATGCAGAAAACTAAACTCCCAAGCATAAATCCATAGTAAATTGGCGTTAACCCATTGTTGTGCAACACATCCACTTGAAATAATCCTGTCACTTCAGATTCAAAATCCCATCAAAATCAGGAAAACCCATTTCCAAAAGACTTCGAATTTCCTCAGAAACTCCCAATTCGAATAGAAACAGAAGAAAGCTGGCTGCACTTTAAAATCGTATATACTTAAACCGTATAGCCGTTCAGCTATACTTTAAACGTACAGCCGCACGGCTATATAATATAATATTTTCGGCGTACAGCCCGGCCGGCTATACCCTCATAATATAATATTTTACATTCGAAGGGTACAGCCGGACGGTTCTTGTATAGCCGGGCGGCTATACTATTTTAATATAATTTTTTAAATATTCTACTATACCCTTCAATTCAATTTGAGATTGTTTTTTTCTCTCTTGCGCATGAGAGAGATGAGGAATTGATTTCTAAAACGCAACTTCAACTGCATTTTCATATAAAACCCACTCAACTAAAATTATTGAGTCATTCATTTAACATTCTTCTTTCATCTTCAATGTATACTATTATCTATACTTCTTGAAATTGCTTCATGTTCATTATCCAAAAAGAGGACCACGATATGCACACACATTCTTTCATTTTCTCATTCTGGGTTATTTGTTTCTTCTTTTTTGGATTGCTAAGGATGGTTCAATTTTATTACACTTTTATGTTTTATTTTTTTTACTTTTTCATTTTGCTTGAATGATGCTTCTAAGTTCTTTCCTTGTTTTGAGGACTGGTTCGCGACTCACACTGCATCAAAATTAAAGTTCCTACTACTGGGATGAAGAGTGCCTTGAAGTCGAACCGCCGCCAAAGGACAAGCTATGATATCTGAGAAACATTGCATTGTAGAGTATCTAGTCTCATTATCTTTTGAGAGAATGGACAAGGTAGTAGACCTTAAAGTTTCCAGATGCATATGCTGAATTGGTACTTTCGGTCACAATATCAGAGCTTGTTTTTGCTTGAGCAGTGGAGACGTGATATATTACTGGATTTCTAATTGAAACCGGGCCGCTGTAGTTTTAAAATATTCGAATATATTCAAACCGAGCGGCTATAATCTTTAAATATAATATTTACTACGGCCGCACGGCTATACTTGTAAAATATTGGAGAGTATAGCCGTTCGGCTATACGCCTTAAATATAATATTTTAAGAGTACAGCCGCTCGGCTAGACTATTTTAATATAATTTTTAAAATATTCTACTAGACCCTTCAATTTGATCAAGAGTTTCTTCTCTCTTGGGCATGAGAGAGATGAGCAATTGTTTTGTAAAACCCAACTTCAACTGCACTTTCATATCTAACCCGACAAAATCATGCCCAATTCCTCTTTGTATCGAGCTAACATAACATGGCCCATGGGTAGTGGACAAGACCTTTCAGCTGAACTTTGTGCTCTGTATAATGGACTATAAAGTTAGCTTTCATGTGTAAAAGCGAGTATTTTTAAGAAAGGGACTTGTACCTCAAGTGTTTAAAAAGTAATTATCTTTTCTTGCATAAACATATCCCTCTTTTATTATCGCTTGTATAAAAATAAACAATAAAAAGTAATTATTCGGGGCTCTGTTTGGTTTGAAGCTTTCAGCTCAGCCTCCTTTTCAACTTGAAAAGCAAGAAGAAAATAAATAAATAAATAATCCACCTCTCACTTCTTATTTAACTCTTGATTAGTTGATGTAGAACGCAAGGAGGAACATCGTGAAAACCAAACTACATACAACTTGACTCACCAATCAATATCATCTTTGGCATGATGTGTGTGTTGTGGACCTGATTTTATAATATTTAATGATTTAATGATTGATCACAAAATCGTTTCATTTCGTTAGAAAAAAGGAAAAAGAAAAGGCAAATAAAATTCCGTGTCTTGTGATTGCCTCAACATATATATATATAAAGTTATAAACCATAACCCACACCACATGGAAACAAATTATACAAACACCAAACTCGCACCGCATATCCCCCCACAAGTTATATTGCGTGAGATTTTACTAAAAAATCCCAAAAATAATTTATGCTAACTTGCACAAGAAAACTCTGTCATGCAATTCCTTCTCATCCAAGAAACATGTAACAACTTATACAGGGGATATGTAATCATGGCTTCTTCTTTTTTCCTCTCTTTTTGGAGGAATTAAAATTTATTTTGGTCTAGAACTTTAATATTATTTATTTATTTATTACGCATACAGTAATTTAATTTAAGTCTTCTTTGCTTGGTGAATAAGTGTAAATATTTCTGTGTAAATTCCGAATATAAAAAGGGAAAAGGAAAAACAGAAAAGGAATGAAATAAGATATATTGTTTTTAATCTAAGAAATAATGAGAGAGTTGTTGACCAGCTAGAATATCTGAAGCTTAGATTTATTATGCTGGGATTGCAATCCGCCACCTACCAGAATACAACATTGAAAGCTGATTCTGAGTATCCTCGAATCATTTCGACATTATTTTTTAAAAATAATAATATTACTCATGGATTGGTATATAAACTTAAGAAACAAGCGACTTATGCACCACCAAACTAATGTGTATATGTGATGTAAGACAAACTAAAAATGTATTAACTATTTGATGATGGGTATGATTATATGGAGCAATTTCTTGATTTGCGAGTGAAGAATGTCCGTAATCATGAACATAATCTAAATTCCTTGTGTGAGGGTTTTGATTCCGTTCCATGCATAGTGCTTGTTATGATTACATTCATATGATTACAAAAGCAAAAAAATACTTGTTTTGGTGGTTGTTTTGAGGGATCTTTATAATTTTGAGGCATCGGGATTAAAGGTATTTGTTGATTTGAAACCAATAAAATTTAATCAATCCGTGCTTGATTATATGTAAATTAGATTGCGAATTTTTCAATCCAATCCAAATGATCCAATGACTTAAATTGTGTTTAATTTATCCAATTTAAATGCTTTTATTTTTTATTTTTTATAAAGAGCGATATTATTTTATTGATAAGAGGAATAGAAATAAGTACAAGCCAATATAGTGCCAAATATGAATAAATCTTCTTTGGTGACCAAACACAACAAATGAAATTATGCATCTGTCGTTTTGGGCCAATTTGATTGGATCTTTTTAATACTCTTCATAAGATCGACGTTGCCAAAAGATTACAATTCTGAAAATTGCCTATATGATTATTACCATAGGTTCACTCATTGTATGCTCCACATAAACCAATATACCACCTTATGACGTCTGCATCATTGGACCAGTCTTGCTTTCGCATGTATTCATAATCATCATTATAATTAATTACGATTGTGTGCTAATTCTATATTGATATTGATATTAGGCACCAAACATCAACCATAACAAATGTAAGTTTACCAATCCTATCATCTACCCTAACTTTAAGTTCAACTGATTTGACTTTGGACACAAAGGTCAGCATCACTATACATAATAGGCATATATGGTCAATTTTTATAACTAGTTCACAAGAATTCGATACCATGAAATTCGAACAAAAAAAAAAAAACCGATACCATGGAAACTAACCACAAGTTTGTATATATATATATATATAATTTACCAATTCGCACTAGGAATTAGAATAGGATACCAATTTTTGGTATTAATTAACATGAATCCATGCTTTCTTCTCTAGCAATAGAAAGATTATGCTACGAATATGTAATATCCGATCATAGAAAGGATTTCCCGGTCATAATGAGCCTTGCAACGGAGACTTGCCCGTTTTGTTTTTGTTTTAATTGTTATTTCCTTTTCAAAAAACTAAAATAGAAAAACTTCATTAACTCTCCAATAAAACATTACACCTAGAAAAACTAGAAAATATAGGTCTTCTTAGGATGACACCGTTAAAACATTGCCTTAAAAAACCCATAAAGAAAGAAAGTTTGGTGAAGAAAAAAAATACTCAACATCTCAATCAAACCAAAACTTATTCTACTCGTAACATTTCACCAATAAAATCAACGGCCGTGTCACATCCCAAACTGCGCCGATGAGTAAGACTTTATATTTTATTATTTTATCAGAATGATTTTTGCTTACCATCTTTAATTAGAGATAAACATTACCACCACGTCAATAACCGTTAAATGCACAACTAGAACAAAGTAGTCTAAACTGTGGCTTAAGTGAATCCAAGTGTCAAAATCCCACATGCTAGATTATCCGACATGACATATCCTAAAGGAGACCAAATCGGAGCTATATTTGCCCAAATTAATCCCACACGCGGACCACATCCTATTATATGCTCCATAGACGTAGGACAGAGAATCTCCTGTTGCTGCCACATATATTTACAAAATTTTGCAATAAAATGCAAGAAAAGGATTTGTGAATAGTTTCCCGGGGAACCTTGAAAAGGGAGACATCGTTGAAACGGTTAGAGTAATTCCGAATCCAAGTCCACCTTCTTCCAAATCTCTGCACACTCTCTCTCTACCTCTGTTTTATTGTTCTGTTTGTGTATGAGAAGATTAAGAGAACCTTCACTCTTCAGTCTTTGTGGTATGCTCAACCTCACAGTTTCTCATCTTCTTGTATTAGTTTTGTTCGGTTTCTGTTTTGACATCTAAGTTTGCACAGTTTCTGTTTGTGGGTTTGCCTCAATTAGTGTTTGCATGTTAAAATAGAGCTTATATACCTTAACTCTGTTTATTGTTCTCTCTCTTTTGGGTTTCTTCAGTTTTTGTTTCTCTTATTGGGTTACACATCTTCTCTGGGTTTTCATGCATATGTTTCCTAGTTTTCCTCTAATTTTAAAACTTTCCTTAATGGGTTGCTTGCAATCCCTCTTTTGTTTAGGTTTCCTCTTACTCTTTCTGCTTTGATGGGCCATATATATGCAGAAAAGCACAGAGAGGATTGGGTGAATTGAAATTTTTTTGGAGTTTGGTAGGTTGTGATCTTTGAAAAATGAAGGAAGATGTTGAGACGTACTCTCCCAAAGGAGTTCTTGAGGACTATTTTAGGAGTTCGGATTCTGAAACAAGCTCTTCCAAAGAGCCAACTGCGGACTCTGAAAATCACCAAAATTCAAAACCAACTTCTCGGTGGCATGGACTTGTGCAATTATTGAGAACTAAATCCAAGAAACCCATAGCCACAACAATGCATCCTCTCATGAAATTCTCAAAAAGAATGAGCAGTAGTATGCGTGGGATTATAACGCCGAAGTTTCAGTCAGTTATTGATGATATGTACCCTTTCAAGTCACCATGGAAGAACTTCTCCCTCTATGAGCTCCAGGCCGCCACCAAGTCTTTCAGCCACGGTATGTAAACTTGTGCTGTGCTTCAAATTTCACTTTTACTTTTACTTTTTCTTTTTCAGAATGCCAATTTTGGAAAAGTTAGTTAGTAATTTCACTGCATAAATGCATTATAATAGTTGTTTTTCTTGTTTTGTTATAGAAAATCAGATTGGAAAGGGGGGTTATGCCGAAGTTTACAAGGGCTGTCTACCAAGTGGACAACTTGTGGCAATCAAACGGCTAACCCGGGGAACACCGGAAGAGATTACCGGGGACTTCTTAGCAGAGATTGGGATCATGGCTCATGTGAATCATCCAAATACTGCCAGGTTAATTGGGTATGGGGTTGAAGGAGGGATGCACTTGGTTCTGGAATTGTCTCCAAAAGGGAGCTTAGCTTCTGTGCTTTATGGTAAGTAAGCCCACAGTTTTGATGCCATCCCATTATGCTTCTATTTTAATGTAACACAAAGTAAAACCAGCAGGTTAGTTTGTTTGTGCTGGGGCTTTTTCCCACCTTGTTCATAAAAAAAGAAGTAAAACCAGCAGTGTGTTCCAGCTTCTATATCTTCATCCTTGGTGAATATCTTGTTTACTGACTGACTGATTTATTTTATAGGTTCAAAGGAGAAGCTTGATTGGGGGATCAGGTATAAAATTGCATTAGGTGCAGCTAGGGGTTTACAATATCTTCACGAGGGCTGTCAAAGGAGAATTATCCACAGAGATATTAAGGCTGCAAATATTTTGCTAACAGAGGATTTTGAGGCCAAGGTACCCTTTTGAACTTGATGTTCTGTAGCTTGAATGCCTTTGTTGTTGTACTCTTTCTGCTTTTATTTATTTCTTAACAATTTACGCATAACGCAAATAATTATAATGCTGGGATGACTTTCATACAGATTTGTGACTTTGGTCTTGCAAAATGGCTACCAGAGAAATGGACTCACCACACTATATCAAAATTTGAGGGCACATTTGGGTGTGTAAACCTTATACTTGCCTCCTCTTCTATTATCCATCAAATACTTTAGCTAGCCTTAATCTGATATGTATTCATCACAATTCACAGTTATCTTGCTCCCGAGTTCCTACTGCACGGCATAGTAGATGAAAAAACTGATGTTTTTGCCTATGGTGTGGTGCTGTTGGAACTAGTCACCGGACGCCGAGCACTAGATTACTCTCAGCAAAGCCTTGTTTTGTGGGTACGTTGTTTAGTAATTTTCTTTCCCATTAGGATGTCCGCAACCAAATGGCGCTCACATTCGTTTAATATTCTCAAACAAGTCAAAACAAATGGATATTCATAATGCAGAATTTCTTTATGTATTTCACAGGCAAAGCCCTTGCTGAAGAAGAATGTAGTTAAAAGCTTAGTCGATCCTTCTCTAAGAGATGAGTACAACACTCGGCAGATGAATATCGTATTGCTGGTTGCTTCTGCATGCATACAACAGTCCTCAATACGAAGGCCAAGTATGAATCAGGTATGTTCTGTTTGTTTCCTATAACCAATAAACCAAAAGCTGTTGCTTATGAAGCTTTTGGTAAGTTTCATAAGATTAAGCATGCAAAACAAGATGAGATGTTAATCATGGTGTTTTTAGGTGGTACAACTTTTGAGTGGAGATCTTAGCAGCTTGAAGTGCATGAAGAAAAGCCGAATGTCGTTTTACCGGAAAGCATTTCAGGATGAGCACATCAACACAGAAGACCATGTCCAACCAAGAATTAAAGGACCTTAATCGGCATTATGGAGCTGGTTCGCCTGGAACTGTGGAAGCCATGAGGTTGTTGTCCCATGAGACAAGTAATGTGACATGGGAACTTTTGGAGTAATGGGAATGGAAACTAGGAGTTTCTGGTTTTGGTCCATCAAGTCCAAAGAAGGAAAGAACGACTATGGTTCTCAAACTGTGTAAGTGTATTTAAGAGTTAAAGAACAAAATTTATCCAACCCATGTACATAATACAAACTATGGTTCAAAGAAATCAATGTTAGTAAGTTAAGCAATACTAGAGCATTATGTTTTCTTAGCACGTTAGTTATCACATTAGTTAATCATATATTATTTCACAATGTCGTATAAATTTATGTGTATGTCTCTCTTTTCACGTGATGAATGACAGATAAAGTATCAATTATTATAATGAGGATAGGGTGTCAATTATCATGATGAAGAGGGATGCATGAACATGAACATGAACATGGAGCTAACAAATCCCATGTTTGAATTGAAGCTAATAAGTCCCATGTTTGAATTGAAGCTAATAAATCCATGTTTGAATTGAATTTGAACCTGACAATTTGGCTAAACAAGCAAGCGGCTAGGCTAGGCTAGGCTAGGCTGGGACACAAGCCATAGATGTTATCGGCAAGTTTTGTTTGAATCCGGCTGGCACGCAACCCCACGCCGGATGGCGTATATCACCCAACCAAAGTCGTCACCACATTTACTCTCTGACGCTAACGCCTCTACTCTCCTCCTTCCTTCCCGCACTACTCACCACGCCACTTCTTTTTTATCCACTCCTTTTTATTTTTATTTTCTTTTTTAGAAAAGTAAAACAAAAATGATAATTTACACATTCAATTTTAACATTTCCAAGTTCTAAACACAAGTTTTTTAAGTATTCGTCATTTAATTATCTAATCAGATCTAATATGTCAAATTTTGTGTAAACTTAAAAATAAATAAAATAATTTATCTGAAAAAACATACCCAGAGAAAATATGAATATTGAATTAATTAATCATAAAAGATTGATTTAAACATCTAAATAATGGTGTCATGCTTTTGTTTCTATTTGAAAAGTGGTATCAGATTCAAATTTACTTGAGATTTAACATTTGTTATTTTTTTTTCCTCTTGCTAAAGTAAAAAGAAAATATTAATAAATTAACCACAATACATTTGATATTTTGATATAATATAATAAACAGATCTAAACAAAGAGTACAATAATTGTGTCCAAACCATTTAACAAAACGCGTTTAATAAGACTTTAGAAATGACTAAAATGCAGACATGGATTTAGTTAAATTGGGTAAAGCGGATATGCTATTACTTTATACCTAAGTTTGAATTCCTGGTAATAGATTACATCAAAGTAGATTAATGATTGTATTTTTAAAAAATGGCCAAAATATAAACAATAAAAAAAAATCAATTTACTCAAGAGATTTTTTTTTAATTTTTTTTTGGAGCAGATGATTCTATAATTTACTCGGAGAGTATTATTATCGGTTTTGCTCCTCAGAAACAAAACATAACTATACTACCAAGCGTACACAGCACACAGAGAGAAGTCATGAGAAAGAAAAAAAGGTAGAAAAACTGAAAGCGAGAGAAAAGGAAAAGAAAAAGAAAAAGAAAAATACGGAGTCTGATCATAGAGAGCGAGCGAATTTAGCTAAGAAGACACACGCCTTGTTGAAGAGCCTTGTTCAAGTCAAAGAAACCAGGACCTTCATATTCATACATCGTTTTTTTTTCTTTTTTGTGATTTCAATTAGCGGATGCTATATCCGATCTTCGGCGATCGGAGATGTTCATCGGCTGTCACGGCGGTGGAGAAGCAAAATCCGGCGGTGGTGGCGGGTGAGAGAAGACACTTAGTGCGAGGTCAAGGTGGTGGTGGAGAATGAAGAAGAGCAAGGGCAAGAACAATGGCTTGTTGCCGAACTCACTTAGGATCATATCGTCGTGCCTCAAAACTGTTTCGACGAATGCGAGCACCGTCGCTTCTACAGTTCGCTCTGCTGGTGCGTCTGTAGCTGCTTCTATTTCTGCTTCCGAGGATCAAAAGGATCAGGTGCAAAGCGATTTCTAAATTTAGTGTTTCCTCGCTTTTGTTTAATTTTGAAGTTGTTTCCTTTTTTGGCTTTCAACTGGTTATTGGTGTTTTTATGAAAAATCTCGAGCTTATTTTGGATTTTCTGATTGATGTGCTTTTTTATTTATGATATATTAGGGTGAGAGAGAATTATAGTGATTGGCAGCATGATTGAATCGCTGTATTCAAGTTTGTTTGGCTCTAAATTATTTACTTGGTTTGAATTTTGAGGAAAATGATTTGGTGGCAGCTTTTAATGGTGAATGTTCTCTTCAATTTATGTTGCTTTATGTGAATTAGCAAATTTCTTGTTGAGTTTGGCGGTTACTATAATGTTTCTTCTGAGCCAGCTTTTGATCATTGGGTTGTCCGTTTAATGCATATATACTAATTAACTAACATTGTATGTTTGTTAACTTCCATTGGTGAATAGGTAACTTGGGCTGGCTTTGGCAGGCTAGAGCTTAGTCACTCTGCCTTTAAGCATGTTCTCTTACTTGGTTATCAGAACGGATTTCAAGTTTTTGATGTAGAGGATGCCTCTAATTTCAGCGAACTGGTTTCAAGGCGCGATGGCCCAGTTTCATTCTTACAGATGCAGCCCTCTCCTGCAGCATCTGATGGTAACCAAGGATTCAGAATGGCGCATCCATTGCTGCTGGTTGTTGCTGGAGACGACACCAATGGTCCAGGGATTGTTCATAACACTAGCCACTTGGGAGGGATAGGCAGAGATAGTAATTTGGAGTCTCGGCCAGGAAACCCTGTCAGCTCTCCTACAGCTGTTCGGTTTTATTCCCTTAGGTCCCACGGTTATGTGCATGTTCTGAGATTTCGGTCTGCTGTGTGTATGATTAGATGCAGTCCTCGGATAGTAGCTGTGGGTCTTGCAACTCAAGTAAGCACTCGCTTATATGTGACATATATTAGAATGTGAGAATATTAAAAAGTATGAGATTGAATACTTAGGATTACACCTTCTGTATAAAAGAGATTAGATGCAGATTTTTGACTCATCTTCCTGATATTCGGTGGCAGATTTACTGCTTTGACGCGCTCACCCTCGAAAACAAATTCAGTGTTCTTACCTATCCTGTTCCTCAGCTAGCAGGACAAGGATCAATTGGGTTTAATGTCGGTTATGGCCCAATGGCTGTGGGTCCAAGGTGGTTAGCCTATGCTTCCAACAGCCCACTAGTGTCAAACACAGGTCGCTTGGGACCCCAAAACCTCACTCCTTCTCCAGGAGTTAGTCCATCTACATCACCTGGCAGTGGTAGTTATGTGGCTCGTTATGCGATGGAGTCTAGTAAACATTTGGCTGCTGGAATAATTAACCTGGGTGACATGGGATGCAAAACCTTATACAAATACTGTCAAGATCTGCTCCCAGATGGATCTAACTCTCCAATATCATCAAATTCAGGCTGGAAAGTTAGTCGGCATGCAGGAACAGAAATGGATAATGCAGGGATGGTTAGTTATTTACTCACCATGAATAATTCTACTGCATCTTGCAATGTACTAAATGAAAATCTCACAAATGGTCTTTTGTCTAGGCATGCAAGCTACAAAATTGAATAATCTCTTCTAACTATTGAGTCTCTGTTTGTTCTTTATCCTGAAACAGGTGGGCTCTGTTGTTGTTTGCTTTAGCATGATAATGTGGACAATCTTTATTTTTCTTTAGTAATTCTTAACTTCATATAATTGCTTGGATTTAGCTCTCTCAATCCTTGATTTCATCTTTAGTAGGATGGCTAGACATTTAGATGATTTTGTACTCTATGATGCTAATTTTTCCTCATAACTCTTATCTATATTACACAGCTAATGACATAGATCACAAAGCTTTATGGCATCCTCATAGACTGTCTTATTTTCCTTTTTTAGTTTTAATACTTTATCCTATAAGAATTAAAACCTCGAGGAAAAAGAAGTGAGATCTTTAATAATTACATGATGGTTATCAGATGTTTCAGTACAGTTTTGTTTTATGCCTTGGCTGATAACCAGACGTTTTAAGTTTTAGCTTTGAGTAGAAAGTTTTTATTAATTACTTGATTAAAATGATTGCTTGCAGGTTGTTGTCAAAGATTTTGTTTCCCGAGCTGTTATATCACAATTTAAAGCTCATACTAGCCCAATATCTGCTCTATGTTTCGATCCTAGTGGGACCCTTCTGGTTACAGCCTCCATATATGGAAATAACATTAATATTTTCCGGATTATGCCTTCAAGCAAACACAGTGGATCAGGTGGTCAGAACTTAGATTGGAGCTCATCTCATGTGCACCTTTACAAGTTGCATCGTGGAATAACATCAGCTGTTAGTACATATATGTAGTTTTAAAGATGTTCATTCATTTCTTCCCTGTAATTTGTGTTGTATGTACTATTTATGCATTTTTCTCAATTTTTATTATTCTGGCAGATGATCCAGGACATTTGCTTTAGTCATTACAGTCAGTGGGTTGCAATTGTTTCATCCAAGGGGACCTGCCATGTTTTTGTTTTATCCCCTTTTGGTGGCGATGCTGGATTTCGACTTCTTAATACTCAGGGCGAAGAACCCTCCCTATATCCTGTTTTATCTCTACCTTGGTGGTCTACTTCTTCTTGCATTTTTAATCAACAATCTTGTCCACCCCCAGCACCTGTTGCTCTTTCCGTTGTGAGCAGGATAAAATATAGCAGTTTTGGATGGCTTAGCCCAGTCAGCAATACTGCTTCTTCTACAACAGGGAAGGTGTTTGTGCCATCTGGTGCTGTTGCAGCTGTATTCCATAATTCATTATCTCAAAGTCCTCGGCAGAGTAACTCAAGGACCAGTACCTTGGAGCATCTATTAGTTTATACTCCATCTGGTCATGTAGTTCAACATGAACTTCAGCCAAGGATAGGGGTAGATCAGAGTCATAGTGGTACCCAGGCAGCTACGTCTATGCATATGCAGGAGGAAGATCTGAGAGTGAAAGTTGAACCTATTCAATGGTGGGATGTATGTAGGCGGTCAGACTGGCCAGAAAGAGAGGACATTGTTTTAGGTACCTCATCTGATAGACAAGACGTAGCAGAAATAAACCAAAATAAATCAGTTTCTGA